CAGAGCTGTGTTTATTGAGTGTGGCATTAAATCTGGCCACTGGGAAATCGATCAGGGCTGCTGCTGCTGCATCAGCTTCCAGCCCTGGGGCAAAAGTTCTGTCCTTCATCTGTTCCGACAGCGGGCGGTGGGGGTGAGGCAGCGTGCTGGCATCGGGATCGGAAACTCCAGGAGCTCCGTGCAGGATCCGGCTGTAGCCTGGCGCTCTCTGGGTGCGGGGATCCGGGCGGCGTTTGCCAAGGAGGGAAAAGCAAACCCTATAACAGGAACCCAGGAGTCCGGGGCAAGACTGACCTTGGGGGCGGACACTGCTGTATCCAGGGGCAATAGGCGCTAACGGGCACAGACTCCCTGCGCCAAGGGAGCTTGAAGGCACCTGTCACCAGAGGATCCGGGCAGCGCGATGGGGCCCTCCAGCCTGGCATATACCCGGCCCCTCCGATGCAGCCGAGGGAGTGGTGGTGCCAGAGACACACCCTGGGCTGCACATGGAGGCCTTGAAGATGGGAACTGAGAACTTGACTTGGTTTGAAAGGCAGAGGCTCGAAGGTGAAGCATGAGGTTGGAAGCTGCTACCCACAAGCTGGCGTGCGCTAGGTTTCTGTAATCACAAATGTTGGGCCTAAAACTTGTCATGTCTCTTTAAGAGTAGTCTGCCCTCTGATTAGGAAGCTCAGGTCTCTTTCAGATAACTCTGATCTCTCCTAATTACAGATCCCTAGAGCCCTGGTGCTGGGCCCTGCTGGGCTTTGAATCAGGCGCTGATTTCCACTCCGCAGAGAATGGCTTTGTTAACCGGATCTGTGGTCCTAAGTGGTCCGACCTTCTCATGCATTTTCCTTTCTGTGTACCGGGGTTGGTGTCTGTCCCAGGTATTCAAATAATACCTCGTGGTGCTGCATCGGGTACAAGAGAACTGGATGCATTGTGATAAGCAAGAGTGCAGTTTAGCAGTCACAGTAAGGAATGGGAGTTGGGATTCCTGGCTCTGGGATGGAGAGTGGGATCTAGTGGTTAGAGCGGGGGGCCTGAGAATCAGAACTCCTGGGTTCTATTCCTGAGAGTCAGGACTCTTAGTGCTCTTCTCAATTCTTCTACTTCCTGTGCAACAATGGGCAAGGTCACATCTCCCTGCCTCAGTTTCCCTGCCCATAAAAAAGGAAATAGTACCTACCTCCTTGAAGGTCTAAGGAGGTTAAGGTTTTGCTAAGTTCCTTGAAAGGTGATACAAAAGATTAGCGGTATGAAAACGTCTCCATTAGCCGATATCCACTGGTGTTTTTCCTTGCACAGGTCAGTTTGTTAGTCTATTGTGTAATTAGACACAGTCAATTAGTTTCATATGCCAGATTCCTGCCATCTGACAAAACTGACAAGAATAGAAATGTGTTCATGGGTCTTTAAAGGGGCTCTCTCAGCTGAAAGGCCACTGAGCTGGAAAGGAACGTTATTAAAACAAGAGGATTCTAAAAATCCAGTTTGCCATTTACTATTTACGAGTTACCGTCAATGGCATGCAGGCTCCTGAAGCCTATAAGCCCTTTGGAAAATGTTACCCTGTTCCCGCTATTGCTTTTGCTCATATACTAGGGAGCTGGGCATCCGTATAAAACCCTGAGATAGGTAAGTCTGTCTGCTTAGCAAAGGAGATCTCAGTGGTATCAATTTCACTCCTGCTGAAAGTAGATTTCACTCTAGAGCTCTCTGAGCTGCAAGAGGGGTGAGGGACCCTTCGTCTGTTTCAAGTGGGACGTAGTTTAAAAATAATTGGAATATTTCAGGATTTGTTTTTAGACAGCATTGGGGGGTGGGGGTTAACCAAAACTTACGTTTTTGGAGGCCAAATTTGAATTGGCTGCTCGTTCAATGGTTTTTAATTACAGTAGCCCCCAGAGATATTGATTGCAACCGAGGACTCCTTGTGCCTGGGTTCTGTACTTTCACCAGGGGGAGAGCTGTGAGTGCAGTGGAGGTGTTGGTTTTGGTAGGGTCTCTTTTTATATGCCTGTGCTGTGTTGTGTTTAGCACATAGCACTAGGAGGAAGAGGTGGGGAAGTCTGAGATGATCCTTAGATCCTGTGGCAGTCAGTTCCACCCTCTTGGATGGGCTCCCAAAGAAGCTCTGTCTCTCTCACAGACGAGCTTCACCTGGGTGGTAGAAAGTGCCATGGGACTGGAGGAGTGGGGCTGTCAGCCACAATCCCCATCCCAGAGCTTTCGGCTCTAGGGGTCCCTGGCCCAGGCCCAGGGCCCTGAAGAGAAAGAACGAGACTCTAAGATGAGACAGGCCCAAAAAGGGAACAAATTATTGGTGTTGGGCCAAGTGAATTAGAGGCTGGTGATGCAGAGAAGATTCCTCCATCACTGTCTGGGGCTGCTCCCAGTTTATGTAACTGATTAGCAGAGCCTCACAAGTCTTCCTAGACCTCCAGAAGAAGGCAGAATGGCTGATCTCCCCTCCCAAGGCACTGATCTGGTGTGGATGATGCCAGGGAAGAACAGTGGGGGGAGGGGTGTCGCAGGTCAGGGCAACTGCACCTGTATTTGCCCCTCATGGTCCAGCCAGGGAAGCCACTTAGGCTTCTGGCTCCCAGTTATCACCTCTCTTGGGCAGAGACCTGCGTCTCTCTACTTCCTGCCCTGGGGATTTCCAGGCTGCACAGCTCCCTGCCTACACTGTGAGTTCCCCAGCAAGCCAGACTGCCTCAGCCGGCCTGGTTTTCCCTCCTTCCTCGGAGGCTACAAACAGCCCAGTCTCCACGGGTATAAGGTACCACACAGCTGTTAGCAAGCACATTGATTCTTACAGTAAAAGCATTGCAGGGAAAACCTCTTAAAAACCAGCAAAGAACAAGCACGCCTGCTAATAAGCTTTCCAAAGATCACCCCGCTTCCAGCCAGGTAACTCACAGGCAGTGGGTTTCTCCTCGGGGAGCGGCTTCCAGCAGCTGAGGTTTTGCATAACAGAAGCATTACGTTTGCATACCCCTCCCCTTAGAGATTTCCTGGGAAATGTACTTAACTTTAATAGTTTCAGATGGTCCCTCAAAGCCCATAACCCTTCCTTGGGTTTCCATCGGAGACGTCACATACAGTCCCACAATAATACATAACCGCCTGCCTTTGTAATACAATGAACTCCTAAGCTACTTAAACTTAGTTCTGTAAGGTACAGCCAGGAGAGTGCAGGAAATTGTCTTCTCTGTCCCGTGTCCATGCAAGGATCCCTCTTCCCCGCCCCCTTGGGGCTGGGATCGATGGTGGGAGACAGTGGCTGGTGAGCCAAGCCTGTTTCTATAAATAGTCCAGAGAGAGTAGGAGACAAAGTGAAAGTAGGTCAGACAGACTGAGCGTCTGGGGAAGCAGATGTGAATTTAATCCCGCTCTGTGGGGCTCCACGGGAGATGGGCTGTGGGGACTAGAGGATGAAGGGGGTGTGGGCGGGGGTAGTTGGCCAGCAAATAGCTGATCCCCAGAACCCTTTCAGGGCTGCCCTGCCCTGTCCTGTGGGATCAGGGGAATCCCCGTAATCTTGGTCTCCTTCCCTCCAGCAGTGAATCAGTCACATCTGTAGGATGTTGTTCTGCTTCGCTGGTGCATTTCAGGCCCTCGCCTGGCCCATTTCTCAGCCCTTTCTTTAGGGCAGGGATGACAGGACTAGAGCACGGTGATGCCGGGTTTCCACAGAAGTGTTGCTATTTAATGATTAAAGTGGGGGGCTCCTGGGGTTCTGTCCCCAGCTCTGGGAAGGGAGTGGGTTGTAGTGGAGAGAGGGGACCGGCAGGGAATTGACTCCCGGGTTGTGCATCTGTGACCCCAAGAACTGCAGCACCCAGATCTTGATCTAGGCTTTTAGCTTGTCCCCTCCCTGGCGTCTCAGCACCAATGATCCCTGGGGGAGGCAGTTAACTTTATGCACCTCCGGTGTGGGGGAGACTTGCCTGTGATGGTGGGGGCAGGGGGGAGCTCTGGGCTCAAAGCCACCCCCTGCTGCTGCTCTGTGCTTGTCCTCGCTGCTGCAGCCATTCCAATCCCGTGGGCGTCTCTTGCACTGTTAAGAGCTGCGGGACTTGTCCCTGTTGGGAGCAGCAGGAGGCAGCGAAGATAAAAGGGGCTCTCAGTACCAAATATCCCTCCAGATGCTGCAGATTGCTCCAACCCCCATCCCGCTTCCTCCCTCCCATGGTTCTGGGATCTGGCAGCAAGGACAGGGAGCCCGGCTGGTGAAGGAAGGATCACCTGGCTGGATGCCAGAGAGCGGGACACTTGGCTGGTCCCAGGCTGCTGCTGTCGAGGCTGTGGCAGGTTGTTTTAACCCCTTTGTGGGCAAAGCCCAACTGGGGTTTGTGACTTTCACGGCTGCCTTCTGCAGCTCTCTGTGTGTGCACGGAGCACCCCCTTGTGGGCTGTTGGTGTCATTGATCTGTGAGGCCTGCACGGTTGAGAGAAGGCTACGCACAGGCCTCTGCCCTTTGAGCTAAGGGGGAATCTCCTTCCCCTTCACCCCCCTTTGCTAGCAGCAGTAGTAGATCCCGTATCCTCCCATTAGGGCAACTTGATCCACGCATCTTAACGTCCTTTGACTGGAGGGTTGTACGAGTGTCTCCTTGTGGGGTGCAGGTTCTGTGTCGAGGGCGTGGACCAGGCACCCCAATGGCATGTTCAGTGGGGGGATAGAGGCACAAGTGCATCCCCTTGGTGCTGGGGGCTACATTAGCCCTCCTGACAGCGCTGTTCGGTCTGTCCAGGGGCAGGCACGGGGGTGGCGGTATTGCGGGAGCGCACCCGCATGGATCTCTCTCTAGCCAATCCCCAGCTGAGCTGTCCTTTGTAGCCAATCAGGCACCGCCATCCTGCTGATACGCTTAAAATCCCCGGCCCTGTTGTGACTGTGTGCCTCTTCGCTGAGCCGGGGTGGGGCTGAAAGGGGAGCTCTGCCCACCAGGCTGGGTGCCCCCCTCCTGACTCCTCACACTGCTTGCTCTCTCTTTCCCTTACAGTGAAGGAGTTCCTAGCCAAAGCCAAAGAAGACTTCATCAAGAAATGGGAGAACCCCTCCCAGGTACTGTGCCCCCAACCCAGATCACCCCCCACCGCCGCCTAATCAAGGCCTTTGCAGCCCCAGGCTGATTACTCAGCAGTCACCCCCTGGATCTCTTTCCACCTTGCCACACAGCCTCCGCTGAGGGTCTGGGGTCATTTTTGCTCCTGGGGGGCGGGGCTGAGTGGACCATGTTACTCTTCTGCCCCCCTTTCCCCCCCCAGTCTGCCCTCTGGTAACTGAAGGGCCAAGAACTCTGTAGGTTGAACTCCTCTCTGCTGTGGGAGGGGGAGACTAACCATGTGGGACTCCTCTTGATCCAGCCTGTCTCCCCCTCCCGCATCCTCCTTCCGAGGCTCCAGCGCAGTCGTCCAGCCCAGCCCCAGATTGGCTCCCAGGGGGGTTGTGCTAACAGGGACCCTGTTCAAAGGGCCTCCATTTCCTGCCTGCGCTTGAGCGCACTGCCCCAGTTTGTAGGTGCCAGAAAAGCTTTTGCGGTCAGCCTGGGTCTGTCCCTGCTGGAAATCCCGCCTGGGGTGGTTGTGGGTAATTCCTGAGGCAGAGCTGCTGGTCCCTCTGCAGCACTGTCACTTTGCTAGTCCTCCCGCACACCCTGTGTCATTAACGCCATGGCACAGATGGGGAAACTGAGGCCCAGAGGGGAAAGGGACTTGGTCATGGGTATAGGAAGTTGGTGGCAGAACTAGGAAGAGAGCTTTTGACTCCTAGTCTCCTGCCCTCTGACCACCACACTTCACTCAATCTCCTCACAGGTCAAGGGCTAGAACCCAGGAGTCCTGACTCCCAGCCCCGCCCCCGCCTCTAACCCACCAGCCCCACTGAATGGAGCTGGGCGGGTCGCCTGTCTGGAACTGGAGTTTGGTTCTGCCCAAGGAGCAGGGAGTCCCTTGTCAGTGTCTCCTTAAAAACGCAGAGCCTTCCTTTGGCGCCCTCTGGTGGTGAAATGTGACATCTACTTCTTCATATTTCCATCTCACCATCAACTGCGGAGTACAGGATCCGGCCCCACGGGCAGCCACCCCACTCCCTCGCTTGCCTGCGGCCCCATTAGACTGGGGGAGGGGGATGCAGCATCTGCTCAGCCTTGTTTTCAGGTCTCTGAGCCGCTGCGGCGCCCTGGACTCTGAATGGACTCGAGTGCCCAGCGTGGCACAGAACTAGGCCCCTTTGCAGTGTCCTGGGCTGGGCAGCCCAGGCCAGGGAACACTGTGGGAGCAATGTGGGGCAGCCCCCACTTGGAATGGGCACAATGCACTGTGGGGTGCTGGAAAATAGCATTGGCCTTCTCAGCTGCCAGCCACTCCCCAGGGTTGTGCCATGTCAGTTGCCTATCCAGAGAAGGCCATCCCACCGTCAACCTCAGCCTGGACCAGTCCACACAAGAGATCCACTTCCTGGACACTATGGTGCTAATAAGCGACGGTCACATAAACACCACCCTATACCAGAAACCTACTGACCGCTATCCTTACCTACATGCCTCCAGCTTTCATCCAGACCACACCACACGATCCGTTGTCTACAGCCAAGCTCTACGATACAACCGCATTTGCTCCAACCCCTCAGACAGAGACAAACACCTACAAGATCTCTATCAAGCGTTCTTACAACTACAATACCCACCTGCTGAAGTGATGAAACAGATTGACAGAGCCAGAAGATTACCCAGAAGTCACCTACTACAGGACAGGCCCAACAAAGAAAATAACAGAATGCCACTAGCCATCACCTTCAGCCTCCAACTAAAACCTCTCCAACGCATCATCAAGGATCTACAGCCTATCCTGAAGGACGACCCATCACTCTCACAGATCTTGGGAGCAGGCCAGTCCTTGCTTACAGACAGCCCCCCAACCTGAAGCAAATACTCACCAGCAACCACACACCACACAACAGAACCACTAACCCAGGAACCTATCCTTGCAACGAAGCCCGTTGCCTACTGTGCCCACATATCTATTCAGGGGACACCATCACAGGGCCTAATCACATCAGCCACACTATCAGAGGCTCGTTCACCTGCATATCTACCAATGTGATATATGCCATCATGTGCCAGCAATGCCCCCTGCCATGTACATTGGTCAAACTGGACAGTCTCTACGTAAAAGAATAAATGGACACAAATCAGATGTCAAGAACTGTAACATTCAAAAATCAGTCGGAGAACACTTCAATCTCTTTGGTCACTCGCTTACAGACCTAAAAGTGGCAATTCTTCAACAAAAAAACTTCAAAAACAGACTCCAGCGAGAGACTGCTGAATTGGAATTAATTTGCAAACTGGACACAATTAACTTAGGCTTCAATAAAGACTGGGAGTGGATGGGTCATTACACAAAGTAAAACTATTTCCCCATGTTTATCTCCCCCACACCCACCCACTGTTCCTCACACGTTCTTGTCAACTGCTGGAAATGGCCCACCTTGATTATCACTACAAAAGGTTCCCCCCCCCCCCCCCGCTCTCCTGCTGGAAATAGTTCACCTTACCTGATCACTCTCCTTACAGTGTGTATGGTGACACCCATTGTTTCATGTTCTCTGTGTATATAAAATCTCCCCACTGTATTTTCCACTGCATTCATCCAATGAAGTGGGCTGTAGCCCACGAAAGCTTATGCTCAAATAAATTTGTTAGTCTCTAAGGTGCCACAAGTCCTCCTTTTCTGTCTTCATATCAATGTTCTCAAGAACAACCCCAGTGCGGGGCTAGCGGGTGCTGTGCTGCAGGGAGTGGCGGGCTCAATAGGGGGCGCTCTCCCATCACAGTCAGTGCTGACCCTGGAGGGGCTGCCTTTCTGGTGAGCTATAAAAAACGAAGCTCTGACCCCCTCATGGTCAGTAAAGACCCCGCCGGTCTTGCAGTGCAAATCCCACTGTCGCGAGCAGGTTCCTTCTTGATGCCCCCAGGACCAGTCTGGCCCCACATCACGTTTGTTTTCCCCCTTCCAGAACACGGCCAGTTTGGATCAGTTTGATCGAATCAAGACCCTGGGCACAGGCTCATTTGGGAGGGTGATGCTGGTGAAACACAAAGAGACCGGGAATCACTATGCCATGAAGATCCTGGATAAACAGAAGGTGAGACGCTGGGGGCTGCCGTAGAGATCTGCCCTGGGGCTGTGGAATCCCCAGTGCGGGGGAGGGATTTGGGGCTGAACCCTGCGTGGGGATGCTGGAGAGGGGAGTGCGTGGGAGGCATAGGGGGTGCTGTGCCAGCAGAGGAAGATTTGATGTTGCTACTTCCTTTTCTCTCCCAGGTAGTGAAGTTGAAACAAATTGAGCACACCCTCAACGAGAAACGGATCCTCCAGGCCGTCAACTTTCCATTCCTCGTCAAGCTAGAGTATTCTTTCAAGGTAGGTGTCCTTCAATTGCCAGCCCAGCCCTGGGCTCTGTCTGCCCCCGACTCCCACAATCCCCTTGATATGTTTCCTATTTAAAACCAAAGCTGTGCTGAAGGGGTCGAAGGGCACAGTCTGCATCTCTTGTATCCTGAGAACAAACCTTCCTGGCGTGACAAGTTTGGAGCTAAGAAAAATCAGTTTGGATCATTCCCCTTTTTCACTCTCTTCTGTTCTGCTTTTGACTCCAGGTTTTGAACAGTGATGCTTCCCCCCGCAACCTGGTCAGTTTTGCTTTCGTTCCTAGTCAGTTTTAGTTTCGGCTCCCATGCGCTGGCCCTAGGGCATGAGGTCTGGCTTGCAGGGGAGTCTCAGAGGAAGTCCTAACTTAACTTCATGCAAAATTGGCTTTGTGGAGACTTTGAAACCATCACGTGGGATCGTTTCCTCCTGATGGAGTTTCTGTGAAAGCTAAAATTCAGGCCCCAGCGATGGGGCTTGGACCCTCTTCCCTAACCTGGATCTTGGGGCCTGTGAGCTACACTCTGTGTGTAGGATGGAGAGCAAAAGTAGTTGTGCCTTAGAGCTGTGGCTGGCCTGATTAAAGAGGGGCTGGCTCTGAAGGGAGATCTGTCTCCTGTCTGTCAGCCTGAGGTTAGTGGGTTGTAGCGAGGAAGAGTTGTCAGCTCAGGGGAGGCTGCAGGATAAATTGCAGCCCCTGCGGGAGCCTGGAGGCTAGAGTGAAGGGCGTGTTAGCAGCAGGCAGTGCTGGCAGAGTCGTTTTCTTGGGGCCCCTCATCATTCTAGGGTTAAATAGCTTTGATCTTGGCCCCTTGTCTGTGGAAGCTGCTACAATGGAAATGTCACTCCTGCTCAGTTCTGTGTAGCTCTCGGGTGACACAGTGGCACTGGGGCCAGTGGCTGCTGTCACACAGGCTGGCTCGCTGAGCCAATCGATTCTCCTACGACAGCGTAAAATAAATACCTGAATCCGCGGGTGTAAATGTGGGAGAACTTTGTTGAAATCAATGTGACTGCTCTGGATTTACCCCGCTGAGCTAGGAGTCTGTCCTGGTACGTGCTGACTGGGCCCCATCAAGGTACCACTAGGGTGTTGGGGCCTGTTTAGTTGGTAGAGGGTCAGGAAGGCCCATGTCATGCAGACCAGAACTGCCTGAGCAGGGAGACCAAGGATGGGCTACGCTGCCAAGGCTGAGCTCCCTTCGTCCCCTTAGAGACAGCAGGGTTCAGGCATTGTTCCCCGTACACTCTTGGGCACCCACCTTTACCCTGGTCCTGGGGCTCAAGGGCTAACCCTCTTAATTTAAGCACCCACCCTCACCCTTCCATGGGCCCAGGGCGTCTCCTCACACTCTGCGGGTTTGCAGGGTCTTTTCCCAGTGAAAGAGCCTCGCACAGAAATATCCTTAACCTCTGTTTATTAACAGTTACTGTCACGGACTCACAGGTCGTGCCCACTCTTGGCCCCGTGCAGGCCTTGGGGGGAACCCCTTCAGTGCGACAGCCCTTCTCCAGCCCTTCTCGGGGATCCAGTCTCTCTCGGGGTTAAGCCCCTCCTTCTCCTGGAACCTCACCTCTCTGAGCCTTAGCACACCTGTCTCTCACCGGGGGCCCCCTCAGGGAGTCCACTGGCTCTGGACCCCCGGGGCCTCCACTCCCAGAGGGAATAATGCAACCCTGTTCTCTAGACCGGAGCGCCTCTCAGCCGGCGTAAAACAGGAGGGTTTATTGAGCGTCTGAACACAGCATAGGAAACTCTCAGAGCCCTCGGGCCTGCCCTCCCCCAGCACAGCACATCCAATTCTCGCCTGCATCAAGGTGAGCTCTGCCTGCTCTCTCTCTCCAGTCCCGTGGCCCCCTGCTTCTCCTGGTAAACAGGGTCCCCTGGGCCTCCTCTCCTCTCAGCCCTCCTTTGGCCCCCTCTGGCTGGAACTGCCTGGTCAGGTGACCCGGGTCCTCTCTTCACAGCCCATTGTCTTCCCTCTGGCCAGAGCCAGCTGTGACTCCTGAGCTGGGCCTCCTGGTCACCAGGTCACCAGTCGCTGGGGTATCCATTCTCCAGGCCATTGGCTGGGGTCCCAAGTTCCGTCCCTGGTCCTCTGTAACAACAAACAACAAAGCCTGGGAATCAAGCAGGGAGAACTGGAAGTCCTGGCACAGTTAAGGAATTATGATGTGATTGGAATAACAGAGACTTGGTGGGATAACTCACATGACTGGAGTACTGTCATGGATGGATATAAACTGTTCAGGAAGGACAGGCAGGGCAGAAAAGGTGGCGGAGTTGCATTGTATGTAAGGGAGCAGTATGACTGCTCAGAGCTCAAGTATGAAACTGCAGAAAAACCTGAGAGTCTCTGGATTAAGTTTAGAAGTGTGAGCAACAAGGGTGATGTCCTGCTGGGAGCCTGCTATAGACCACCGGACCAGGTGGATGAGGTGGAGGAGGCTTTCTTCTGGCAACTCACGGAAGTTAATGGATTGCAGGCCCTGGTTCTCATGGGAGACTTCAATCACCCTGATATCTGCTGGGAGACCAATACAGCGGTGCACAGACAAGCCAGGAAGTTTTTGGAAAGTGTAGGGGACAATTTCCTGGTGCAAGTGCTGGAGGAACCAACTAGAGGCAGAGCTCTTCTTGACTTGCTGCTCACAAACCGGGAAGAATTAGTAGGGGAACAAAAGTGGATGAGAACCTGGGAGGCAGTGACCATGAGATGGTCGAGTTCAGGATCCTGACACAGGGAAGAAAGGAGAGCAGCAGAATATGGACCCTGGACTTCAGAAAAGCAGACTTTGACTCCCTCAGGGAACTGATGGGCAGGATCCCCTGGGAGAATAACATGAGCGGGAAAGGAGTCCAGGAGACCTGGCTGTATTTTAAAGAATCCTTATTGAGGTTACAGGGACAAACCATCCCAATGTGTAGAAAGAATAATAAATATGGCAGGCGACCAGCTTGGCTTAACAGTGAAATCCTTGCTGATCTTAAACACAAAAAAGAAGCTTACAAGAAGTGGAAGGTTTCAGAGATTGGTTAGTCTCTAAGGTGCCACAAGTACTCCTTTTCTTTTTAAGAAGTGGAAGATTATACATATGACCGGTGAAGAGTAAAAAAATATTGCTCGGGCACGCAGGAGTGAAATCAGGAAGGCCAAATCACACCTGGAGTTGCAGCTAGCAAGAGATGTTAAGAGTAACAAGAAGAGTTTTTTCAGGTATGTTGGCAACAAGAAGAAAGTCAAGGAAAGTGTGGGCCCCTTACTGAATGGGGGAGGCAACCTAGTGACAGGATGTGGAAAAAGCTTATGTACTCAATGCTTTTTTTGCCTCTGTCTTCACGAACAAGGTCAGCTCCCAGACTACTGCACTGGGCAGCACAGCATGCGGAGGAGGTGACCAGCCCTCTGTGGAGAAAGAAGTGGTTCGGGACTATTTAGAAAAGCTGGATGAGCACAAGTCCATGGGGCCGGATGCGCTGCATCTGAGAGTGCTAAAGGAGTTGGCGGATGTGATTGCAGAGCCATTGGCCATTATCTTTGAAAACTCATGGCGATTGGGGGAAGTCCCGGACGACTGGAAAAAGGCTAATGTAGTGCCCATCTTTAAAAAAGGGAAGAAGGAGGATCCTGGGAACTACAGACCAGTCAGCCTCACCTCAGTCCCTGGAAAAATCATGGAGCAGGTCCTCAATCAATTCTGAAGCACTTAGAGGAGGGGAGCTGGGGGTCCATGGGTGTCAGGATCAGGTCATCCTGGGACTCCAGCTTCTGCACGGTGTGCTTGGCACGGTGTTGAGGTCTGGTAGCGCTGATGTTGGGCTGTGTCCTGGAGCTGGTTCCCAAGAACTTCCTTTTGGTCCCCAGTTTATAGAGTGAAACTTGAGTGCTGCTTAGCTCTACCTAAACCTATCATTTTACTGAAGTATTACAAAATACTTCTCTGACCAATCCGAACATAATGTGAAACAATTCTTTACCCAGGCGTACCTTGCCACCTTTGTTGATGTACACCTGGCAAAATTAGTTATCGAACAGAAACAATCAAAGAACCAGACCGATAAACAATAGAGAAGCGGGGACCAGAAAGGGAAAACAATCAAGAGGTAGAGATTTCACACCCACACTGCAGCTAAGTGATTCCTTTGAGCATCCTAAGATCTGTTTCTTTGCCTGGTGATGCTGGGCACTCTTCGGACAGGAGCCTTCTTAACAGCCCAATATTACATTGTTTTGATATAATTTAGATGGAATGTGAGGATGTGACTTTCTGCTTCTTGGCTCCTGCTCTCCTAATGTGGCTGCAGAAAAAGGTCTCCGACCATCCAGCATGGGGCGCTGTGCCCATGCCCCGGCTGGACCCTCTTTCCAGGGCTAGCTGGAAACTGACACTGGGCTGGAGGGCAGGGGCAGTGGTCTCCGCATGCGCGGGTGCTTAGTGCTCATGTTCTCATCACTGAGCCGGGTTGGGTCTCACTAGCGGAATGGCTTTGTTGGGCTCAGCGGAGTTACTTCGGAGGCTGCTCTTTGACTTTGCAGCCCTGAATGAGGATGGAGCCAGCCTGGTCAATTTCACACTCTGCTTTTGACAAGTTTCACTTCCTGCTTCTGTTCTTTTGGGGTGTCCGACCTGGCGGCACGTTGGGTTTCCCCTTTGATCATAGACATCGCAGCTGGGAAATCCATCTTGCCCCCGCCCATCTCTGCCCCTAAACCAGAGGAGGGGAGGGGTTGAATTTTCTAGGGCTCTAGTACGAAAATACTCCAAGCAAATAAAGCTTGCGCCCTCTCATTAGTGAGTCTGTTCCCCAGCCGCGTCTGTGCAGCAACTCCCACTGCAGGTGTGTGCCTGGGACCTTCGGCACCACGGCGCAACCCCTCTGGCCCTTGAGCCAAAGGAGTAACAGCAGCAGCTGGAGGCAGTAGTAGGCTGTCATCTCCCAGACAGCGGGTGCACTGCATTGTGTGCTAGGGGGAAGCCACGCCAGTTCATCAGGCTCCCTTGAGGCATGTGGGGTTAGTGCCCTGAAAAGGACGGGGCTAATAAAGGAGCAGGGGTGTGGTGAGCAGCTTCATCCCGGTGTCACAGGCACTGACGGGGGGCCGGAGTGGCTCCATCCCTTGCACTCAGTTTTTGCTGCATTTCCTTCTAGGATAACTCCAATCTGTACATGGTGATGGAATACATCCCGGGCGGGGAGATGTTCTCCCACCTACGGCGGATCGGGAGGTTCAGGTGAGTGTTGCCATGGGAGCCGATGTTGGGGACAGTGTCGCTAATGGTTAGAGCTGGGTGGCGGTTAGACTCCTGGGTTGTATCCCTGGTTCAGGGAGGACAGTAGGATCTAGCACTTAGAGCAGAAGGACTGGGAGTCGGGACTCCTGCGTACTATTCCTGCCTCTGCCATTCACTCCTTGTGGGAAGGGGGGAGAATTACTCTGTGCCTCAGTTTCCACAGCTGTAAATTTGGGATTGAGTTCAGTAGAGAACTAGACCTTTTATCCACTAGCAGCATCTGCAGCAACGCTGGCTTTGATCCTCCTACTGCAGGGCGTGACCTGATCCCCAGCTGGGCTGGTCAGGAAGGGATTCCCCATGGGGAGAGCGGCTGAGGTCTTCTGCCAGCATTAGCCACAGTCAGTGGCAGAGATGCCAGGCTAGATGGAGTCATGCTGGAAGGAGCTGGGGGTCCATGGGTGTCTGTATTGAGTCTAGGGGCGAGACGCTGGTCTGGGAGGGGCTTGCCCTGGGTTGCCAGGCTGGATGGAGTCAGGGGTCTAGCAATGGTGGGTGGGATGTGTGTACTAGGGCTAGTGGTCTGGCTTGGGCAGATGGGGCCACCGGGCCGATAAGGGTTGGGGCATCTTGCCTGAGGATCTATAAGGAAGGTGAAGGTGTGGGCGGCAGGAGGCCGAGGGTGCTGGGCTGGCTGAGAGGGGGCGGATCTGGCCCGGGATGCCCACGTTCTCCTCCCACCTCATTGCAGTGAACCTCACGCCCGGTTCTACGCTGCTCAGATCGTCCTGACCTTTGAGTATCTGCACTCGCTGGATCTCATCTACCGAGACCTGAAGCCAGAGAATCTCCTGATAGACCAGCAGGGCTACATCGAGGTGACGCTGCCGCCCCCTCCCACTCCTTCCCGTCCCCATCCCAATGCTGGCTCCTGGCTCCCTGCAGTGATCTCCTGCCTGTCTAAGTCTCTCTCTGTTGCCATCCCCTTCCCAAAGCCAAGACACCCCCAGAAATATAACACGGCCAGAATACATCACAATCATCTGCTTCCCCCTTCCCCTCCTGCTGTCACAGCTTCCGGGCTGATCCAGCTTCTCCCCTCTCTCTGTTTTGGCTCCAGGTGGCCGATTTTGGTTTTGCCAAGCGGGTGAAAGGCCGAACCTGGACTCTGTGTGGGACCCCGGAATACCTGGCCCCCGAGATCATCCTCAGCAAGGTGAGCTGGGGAGGGCCTGTCTGCTGCCTGATCTCTAGCTAATCCCTGGCCACAAGGTGGTTTCCCCCCACACCTCAAATATTCAGTGCGTGACCCTGGCCTGCTTTCCCCGGGCAGGGTTATCACAAGGCTGTGGACTGGTGGGCTCTGGGTGTCCTCATCTATGAGATGGCAGCTGGTTACCCCCCATTCTTCGCGGACCAGCCCATTCAGATCTACGAGAAGATCGTCTCTGGCAAGGTATTTGGGCTCGGGGAGGGGACACTTGTGTGATATTTTGAGGGGGGGTTCACCAGCAAAAGTGGGGTGCCAAGTCTCAGCAACGGACCAGAGAGATGCTCACACACTGCACCCCACACATGCTAATTCTCTCCCATGCTACCCCAATCCCCAAGACATGGGCATCCTCCCTGTCATGTATCCCATTCCCCTGCACCCCAACACATAGACCCTCCCTTGCCACATACCCCTGTTTTCCAACACATGGACATCCTCCCCATTGTGTCCCCCACACATATCCCTACTTCCCCAACACATGGACTGCATCCCCCACCCCATCACCATTGGGCTCCCTGTAACTCTCATGGGGACTCCTGGAACCGGTGCCTTTGGTTTTCTTATACACTGTTGTGAATTGCAAAACTCTCCTCAACCCTGTTGTGTTGCAAGACTAAACATTCCTTAAAGACTTCCGTCATCTCCAGGCACTGGTAGAGCACTCATCACCATAGTAACCAAGAGCCCATAATATTCCTCTGCCCACCCCAGCGCCTTCTCGCCAAGGATCTCCAAGCACTCATGGTGGACACGGTCAGCTTTAAACCTAGCGGGGTTTTAAAAAAACAAAGTTGTGTGGCCTAGTGGAACTCAACAGGCCTGGGTTCTGTTCCTGGTTCTCCTACCAGCCTGCTGAGTGACCTTGGGCAAGTCACGTCTCCCCGTGCCTCAGTTTCCCCTTATGTAAAATGAGGATAGTGATGTGGCAGCCCTGCTTTGAGATCTGTGGAGGAAAAATGCTCAATAAGAGCTGGGGGGCTGCTGCTAATGAACCATTTCAGCTCCTGTGTCAGTCCTCAGTAGCCTGAGGACTAGCTTCTTGTCCACTCATTGTCCTGGAGTGTTTTTAAAGGGCTTGTTATTTATTATTAGGTGTATTACAATAGTGCCTACAAGCCCCAGTCATGGGTCAGGACCCCCCTGTGCTATGGGTCTCTACATTACTAGGTGTATTATGGTAGTGCCTAGGTGCCCAGGTGTAGCCCAGGACCTCCCTGTGCTATGGGGCTGTACATTATTAGGTGTATTATGGTCATATCTCAGCCCCCAGGCATAGCCAAGGACCCTCTTGTGCTAGGGGCTGTACATTACTAGGTGTATCTATGAATCTAGCCACGAGGGCAGGGCAGATAAAAGCCAGACCTCTGTGTCTCCTCCCCACCCCAGGTCCGGTTCCCTTCTCACTTCAGCTCAGACCTGAAGGACCTGCTCCGGAACCTGCTGCAGGTGGACCTCACCAAACGCTTTGGCAACCTCAAGAACGGGGTCAACGACATCAAGAACCACAGGTGGTTTGCTACCACCGACTGGATCGCCGTCTACCAGAGGAAGGTAAGAGGGCGGCGGCAGGCAGAGGAGGGCCTGGGTAACTCCCACCTTGTGCAGCCTCCGTCAGCAGGAATTGAACCTGGGATCATCAGTGCCCAGGCCTCTAGGAGCGCATTGGTTCCTGGGACTCTGTAGCAGGGTGTTGTGGTTGGGTGCAACCACTAGGGGGAGATATGCTCCCCCAGCATTGGTTTAAAGTCGGGAGCCCTCAGTCACCTGTTTGTAACATGGTGGCAAAAGCAAGGTCCTGTCCCCACCCCCTGAGGACAACAGCCTACTACTGCTGCTGCCAGCTAATGGCGTTATTCCTCCATGTCTGGTGGGAGAGGGCTGGGCTGAAGGTTCTGATTAAAATCCTTCTGATGATGCAAGTGGGGGCTCTTACGGGGATCCAAGGGGCTCATGACCCCCTGCCCTTCCCTGATTGCAAAGTGAGAGGAGGGGGTTCTGGCTAGATAAACGGGGGCTTGAGGAGGCGCTGATCCTGCATCCCTCACCTTGTTGCGAAGCGGCCCGATCCTGTTTCCCTTAAGAGTGCTGGGGGCCCTGATCCTGGGCTCCTAAGTGGGGTCATGGGCTCCCCCTTCCATGATTGCAAAATGTGAGGGTTTCTGGCTGGATTGGGGACGGGGGGGTTGATCCTTGCCTGCCTTGTTGCAAAGTTGGGGCCTGATCGTGCCCCCCAGCAGACCCAGGAATGTGGGGGGGTGTACAAATGTTGATCCCTCACCTCGTCCCCAACCTCCCCCGCCCCTCCCTTTGCAGGTGGAAGCTCCCTTTATACCAAAGTGCAAAGGCCCCGGCGACACGAGTAACTTCGACGACTACAAGGAAGAGGAGATCCGGGTCTCCACCACTGAGAAGTGCGCCAAGGAGTTTGCTGAGTTCTAGGGCCAGCAGGGCGCCCTTCCCCCCGCCAGCCCCCAGGAGGGCATGCACGGAGCAGGTGGGGGCGGGGTTGGATTTGACCCCACCCCGCCCCGGGAAACACGTCTGTGTCCTCCGACAAAACTTGTGTCACTGCCCCCACTTCCTCTTTAACAGTGTGCTTCCTTGTAAACATATTTGAAACAATTACCAATAAAGTTTTGGGTTACTATGTCTCATTCTGACCTGAGAAACCTTTCATTAAAGCCAAACTGTCCATGAAAAGTTGTGTTGTCTATAAATCTGCATTTTCTAGCAATAAAACTCCCGCCCAGCTCTGCCTCTGGCTGCCACTGCCTGTACGAAGGAATCCGGCTGCAATTATTTAACGTAACCTTCGTATTGTTACTCGTAGCAACCTTTGTGCTTTGGGCACAAGGCTGACACTCTTTGTGTGTGAGGATTTTTTTCTTTTTCTTAAAGCACCAGTCACCAAATCATGCGAGTTTGATTAAAAAGCAATCAGGGCTTGTCTGCATGGGGAAATTTGACTGGAGTCACTATGTTCCACTGTAGCTCTTTCTGTTAATTTCCTTAGGTGGAAAAACCCTCCCTGTCTCGCCCCCTTCACTGCAGAGAAATCTTGAACCAGGTGACCTTTTAAACGTCCCCACAGCAGGAAGTGAATAAAAACACCCTGCCAAGTATTTATAAAATCTCACGATTTTGAAGCCAATCTCAAGATTTGGTTTGAGGCCCATCGTTATTTTTCACCGGTCAGGGTTCGCATCGCTGCAGCGACAGGAGCCAGGCAAATAGCCTTCCGAGTTTGCCCAGTTTATGCTTTGCAGCATTATCTCGGGTCTCTGTTGCTGTCTGGCTATGGGCAGATCCCCCTGTTTGTTAGGCGTGGGTCTTACATGAGTGGGGGGCCTCAAAAGGGAAACATGGGTGTGAAAATTGGCAGAGGATTTTGGGGTGGGGGCTGGCATTGGGCCTAAGCTACTTTTAGTTCCTTTTTAAAAAATCACTGAGATTGCATGTTGACTACCTTTAATGTATGTGTCAGGTATGATCCCCCTTTTACAGAGTGGAGCACACACAGAACCCAGGCGTCCTGGCTTCCAGCCCCTCCCCTAACCACTAGACACCACTCCGCTCCCACCGCTGGAAATAGAACCCAGGAGTCTGGATTCTCCAAGTCCTTTTCTCCACCCCGCCTACGTTGGCTACACCTCTGCAGACTGTCCCCGTCCACCATTTTGGATGCCTTCCATGATTAGCGCAGCAGGGCGGCTTCAAGCATGGCCCCTCCTTAATCCACCCCCCCCATGTCAGAGGGCATAGGACTGATCATGTGACTGGCTACTATTTCCAGCAATACCAAGGGACCATGTTCTAGCGGTTAAAGTGGGGTGCATGAGCATGGGGGTGGGGTTGTGTGCTGGGACTCCTGGGTTCTAGTCCAGCTCTGTGATGGGATCTACTGAGTAAGGCCAGGGCAGCTGGAGCTGGGAGTCAGGACTCCTGGGTTCTAGAGGGGAGTGGGCTCTGGGCGTTAGGGTCGGATGGGGCTTGGAAGTCAGGACTCCTGGGTCCTGTGCCACCAGCTGTGTGACCTGAGCCCTTCTCTCTGCCTCATTTTCCCATCTATGAAGTGACGATAACCAAGGCTGCTGTTCTCGCCCCTGCCCCCCCATTGACCCCCACTTCCTTCATCATGCCTGGCTGGAGCCTCATACCCCAAGATGTCCTGCACGGAGCTGTGCCTGGTACCATCCCTCAGGCCAGGGGCCATTGGTTGAGGCTGGTAGCCAGATAAGAAACTAGATCCTCAGCTGGCATCAGTCTTTCATCTCTGTGGACTCTAAGGGAGTGGTGCCAATTGACACCAGGTGATGCCAGTGGCATGATGTGAATTGGGAATCTGGGCCCAGGCTATCTGAGAAACAGGTCTGACTGCCAGGTAGCTCCAGAGCTGCAAATCCAACCCAACAGCCATGGGGCTGCACACTCAGGGTGAACGGCTCAGTGGCGTTTTCAGCTGGCGCCAGCCAGCCGTGCAGAGAGGGAAAGCGGCTGCTGCCAGTCTGCCAGCTGTGCTGCAAAATCCTGCCAGCGGGGGAGCGGGCAAGCAGCAAGGGCCCTTAAGGGCTTTCAGGCTTTTGCTGCCACAGTCCTGGGCCCTGGCAGCTGTCTGGGACTTGGGCCCTGTGGTCCTGTGTCTCACCAGAAGGGTGCCCCCACTCCCCCGCTTAGGAGTTCAGGCTCCCTGGCTCATTTGGGCCTGGCTGTGACTAACCAGACCCCAGCCAAAAGAGCTAAAGTGAGTTGCTTGCCTCAGAGGCTATGGTGGCCCATCTGCTGGGGCCCAGAAAGAACTGCAGCAAGGGGGCCCCTGAGGCAGCAGAATGGGGGGCAGCGGGTAAGAGTTCAATTGCCACCAGCAGCCCCCCCAGGGCAGACAGGCTCCTGTGTCCCATTCCAGCCCCTGCCAGACAGGCGCCCCCTAGAGGAGAAAGGCCCCGTGCTCTATTCCCCTCCCCTCTGAGCCAGCCTTGCTTAGCTGCCCCCCCTCTGGATGGACCCAGGGTTACTTCTCCCGGACCCTGAGCCCCTAGTTGTCAGGGTTGGGGGGAGGGCATGGAAGCACCCCATGAGCTCCCCCATCCCCTAAAGGGGCGACCAAGCCTCCACCAATGCCGCTCTGCAGCACCACCAAAGCCAGCTGCAAGCGGGGACATGGGCCAGCTCCCCCGTGCGGGAAGGGGGGTGATGGGGGAGGTCATGGGGTGTTTGTTGGGGGGGCTGGAGTGGGAGCTGGAACAGCAGGCTGCGTGTGAACACAAGGAGAACATTAGCGAGGAAGCATCATATCATTAAGCTTTTCCCCTGGACGTTCTGCAGCCGCCCCGCTCCCGGCATCCGTCTCCGATGCTGCTCACTGCTATTTATTTTTTCTCGTGCTGAGAGCAACGTTTTTTCTCTCGAGGGGGGAAAAACAAGAATAAATAGAGGGAAAATAAGACAGAGCGAAGGTGGAGGAGAGGAACCGAACAAGCCGAGCCACCGGCGCCAGGTGATCGGCCATTTCACAGGGGATGCCTGGCCACAGGGGACGCACAGACAGGGAAAAGAATTGGCGGGGGAGGGGGTGCTCTGCTGCGAGGTGAGGGGTCAGCAGGGGGCGCTCCCCTCTCAGTTAGCGCTGACCCAAGGCCCCAGTGCAGCACTAGGGGGCGCTGTGCTGCAGGGAGCAGGGTGTGGGCTCAGCAGGGGGCCAGCAGGGGGCACTCCCCTCTCAGTCAGCGCTGACCACCAATGCCCCAGTGCAGCACTAGGGGGCGCTATGCTGCAGGGAGCAGGGTGTGGGCTCAGCAGGGGGCCCTCTCCCCTCTCAGTCAGCGCTGACCCCAATGCCCCAGTGCAGCACTAGGGGGCGCTGTGCTGCAGGGAGCAGGATGTGGGCTCAGCAGGGGGCCCTCTCCCCTCTCAGTAGTAGCAGAGCTGCCTTTTATATGCATCATAAAACAGACATCCTGCCCCCAGAAATGGGGCGGTCGGGGGGAGGGGGTAACAGGGTCCTTGCTAGAACGGGGCCAAAAGTTTGCAACAAATAATGTACTGGAGGAATTTCCCTTCTCTTTCAGTTTGCAACTTTCATAGATTCCTAGATTTTCAGGCCCTCCAGGCTGACCCACTGTATAGCAGACGCCAGAGAATCCGCCCGGCTACTCCTGCCTCCAGCCCATAGCTGATGGTTGAGCTCGAGCACGGAAAGCCAACCAGGATTCCAACCCATCATCCGAATAATTCTCCCTGTCACGTGTTCCCAAACTGAGAGCTATAAATAACACACCAGGACCTCGAGGCCCGAGCTGAAATCAGGGCTTCCTTGTCCCCAGTGCTGTACAGAAAGCCCCAGATGAGGGCCCCATTGTGTCAGGTGCTGCACAGACCCCCAACCGAGATCAGAGCCGCATTGTCTGCAGAAAAACACACTGAGACGGCCTCTGCCCCCAAAGAGCTTACAATCTACTGTTTGGGAGGGGAAACTGAGGCACAGAGAAAGGCGGCGGCTTGCCCAGAGTAGGCCCAGACAGAACCCCAATGTCCTGACTCCTACCCTAGATGCTACCCACTGGACCACATCAGTCCTGGCTAGGGCTTGGTCCAGAACAACTCCATTCAGCCATTTGGACAGGATTCAGGCTCCTCCTTCACTGTGAGGGTGTGTGTGGGGGGAGCTCTGCTAATTCCCAGGCTTGTGTGAGTAGCTAGGCACTAAAAATCAAGCCCAGAATTCCATCAGTATCTGTGGGCATTTTAAAGGGCCGGGGCCCCTCCCTGCTCACACTGCCCGTCACTAACATATCATCTGTCAGAAGCTGTAATTATTTTTCCTCCTCCAAATGGAGCTATTCCTCCCATCCCTTTGCCTGTTTCCAAGAGCCCTGGCTGCTGCGCTTCCCCAAGAGTCGCCCTCGGAGCAATGTATGGCACTTTAAAGCAAATTCGAGAACTAAAAGTGGTATCAAAGAGCCCAGTGTGGCAGGCCAGGCATCAGTGAATGGAGAGTCAGGGCTTCTGGGGTGCAGATCGGGCAGGGTGGGGGAGAGAGGGCCGCGGAACAGGCCAGCATGGTGAGAACAGGACAAAATAGAGTCCAAGCTTCCAAGGGACCGGTGGAATCATCTGGTCTGACCTCCTGGAGAACACAGGCCATAGGACTTCCCCGAACGATTCCTGGAGCAGATCTCTTAGAACAGCATCCAATCTGGACTGAACAATCAAGGTGGGAACAGTTTGTAGGGCAGAGATAGGAAAGGGCGATGGGAGTCACAGAAACAGACCTGGATGGCATTCTGGAGCCACGAGCCCATTTACGGTGGTGGTCTAGAGCAGGGATGGGCAAACTATTGCCCGGTGGCTGTATCCAGCTCTCCAGACATTTTAATCTGGCCCTTGAGCTCCCACTGGGCAGCGGGGTCCAGGGCTTGCCCCGCTCCACGCAGCTCCCGGAAGCAGCAGCATGTCCCCCCTCTGGTTCCTACACATGGGGCCGCCAGGAGGCTCCACAAACTGCCCCCGCACCAACCGCCACCACCACAGCTCCCATTGGCCAGGAACCATGGAGCCGGAGGGGGCTGGAGGGGCGACATTCTGCTGCTTCTAGGAGTTGCTTGATGTAAGCACTGCCCGGAGCCTGCACACACACCCTCCCGCCCCACACC